GATGAAGCACCTTAAAAACAGGTTCACAAAATCAGGGCGGTCTCACAACAATTCCCTGATCCTTACAAAAAATCCTGATTCTTTCACTGCCTGGCATCACCTACTCTCAAGAGAAAAGGTTTAGACTACACACTGCAAGCCAGCATGAAGTTTTTCACCTCAAGCTTCAAGCTGAGAAGATCTGGGTGACCTCTAAGACAACTGAGTTAGTTGTACTTGCTTAAATCTGCTTACCTCATTGATGCTATGAAACAACTGTCAACTGGCAGTGCATGTCATCTCTTTAGAGAAAAATTTAGGCTTCATCAGCATCTTGTGACAACTGCTATACTGAGCTGAAACACAAGACACCAGGTTAACCAGATGCTTTCACTCAACAGCTTAATTCATCTAAAATTAGTCATATAAATTCAGTTCCCATGGTAAGTACTTTGCAGAGTGACAGCCAGTTTAGAAATGGATGTTGTCTAAGGAATCCCTAGCAGGACAAGAATGACTCCAACATTGGCAACTCAAGCATTTTTCTAAACATTTATGAGATACTAGACAGAACCCTATGGATTTGCTTAAGACCAATCACTGCTACCAGCTGTTTCCAGCCATCTTTTTTCCCCCCTCAGACTTGGAAAGCATAAGTTGCATTCAGCTGCAATCACATACTTGGAATCTTGAACTACCTGAAAACTTTTAACTAAAARTATAAAAAAGGAAGTATAAGCTTGAAACCAGCCATACTAAACAATATCTCTACATGCAGCCTTCAAAAGTTTCACAAAATCATCTGGGATTCTTCCTAGTATGTTTCTGAGCTTCTATACAGACTATAGAACTGCACAAAAATCTGAATACTGTCAGTTTCTGAATAAAATGAAAGGTAGCCCCCAACACTAGGAAACTCAGAAAAGAGAAGCCCTTAAAAACAATCAAGCAACTCTTTACAGTGTAATGAATAAAAACATCATACACAGGAAGCATCCCAGATGCTGAACATTTCTGGGATGGGCATACTGCAGAAAAATATCAAAGCTTCATAAGCCTTTATAGTCTTTTAGGTAATACATAAACCACTGCTGTATTGTTTGGAAAAAGAGCTGTAGAAACCTTTGGTATTTCAAATTTGCTTCAAAGTAGTGATATTTGCTAATTTAGTTTCTCATTAACAAGCAACTTGCTTATCTTAATTGCAGACCATAACCTTTTTCAAATGTAATTTTAATGAATTAATATATAATTAATTTTGATTTCTGAATTGGTTCAAAAATAAGCTTAAGGGGAAAAACAAGTAGTTGCTATATTAAACAGAATTAAACATGCTAATCCTYTGGAAAAGATTTTTTCCTCTCCCTGGCATTATTCCACACTTTTTATGATTGCAGGCAATTGAGCCYTGTCAAGTGCTGAAGGACAGATGAATAATTCAAATGGCAATATCTGAATTTGCGCCAAGACCAAGCATATTGAGAATAAAGAGGGCAATACTATCCTCAGATGAAGAAACCTAGCAATACATTGAATTCACAGATTATATGCAATAGCAGATAGCACTTATTCTACAAATTATATATCCACSCATTTGAAAAAACATACCATAGAATTTGCTCTGACAATTTCAGGGAGAAAGAATGAAGTCAGAATCCCATAAAGTCAATTCTTTTCCCAGCTGAATGATTCATATTTGTAAATTTGAGATTTTGCCTCCTCATTAACTGCACATGCAAATTAATGAATGAATCTTTAGAAATTAATATTAAAGTCCTAAGATCCAGTGAAGCATTTTTATACACCCTTCTTATGAGTTCAGGTTTGTAACATGGTTCCTATTTAACATTCTCAGTTTTAGAAATTCCTTTCCTATGCAGCTCAGTTATGCTATGCACTGTTCATTACAGGTTTTACTGGGCATCAGGGTCCCATGACAGATGCCATTGCTAAACATGGGAATGTGCAAGTCTCTCCAAATACCGAAAAGCTCCTCTGAAGCAGCACAATATTAAATATTGAATGAGGATGCCTAAAGAGTTGAGGAAAAGTCACAACTTCAGTTGTGTTCACATACCAGTGCCAAGAGTGGCAAGAACATTAAGAATGATACAGATAAATAAAAACTCCAGTTTTGCCTTTAAAGATCTTGAGCCTGATCACCTTGATATCTTAAGAGCATCAAGCTCTATAGCAGCTAATGCATGCTCACTTGAGCCGAGCAGGTCCAGATAATGATTAAAATTCATTAGAGCTAAGCTCCACCATGGCTTTTGTTAATCATGGAATTTAGTTGTTTTTTCCCCTAAGTGTGAAGACTAAGTTTTTTTTTTTTATCAGTTTCTGAACTGACAGCAATTTCCAACTCCCTCAGTCTAACTCATCTGAGTTTCACATTTTCTAAACAAAAACAGGCAGTTTGGAGAACCTACATCTTGGCACTCATGGAAAAAAATATAAAATCTCTTTTTTTGATCAAATAGAACATTATCCAACTTTGCCACATTTGATTTAAACTTGTTATATTTCATCACCAAAACTGGACCATAAAAATCTGAGCTTTTGTTATTTTTGTTGCCTTTGCCAATAGATTTCCTGTACTTTCCACAGACATCSAAGTTGCTTTTGGAACAGTCTGCTTTGGACCACAGTGTTTACCAAGGTTAACAAGAACTGCTAATAAAAAAGGAGTTCATCATCAAGATGGTTCAGTGTCAGGAGAATCAGTAACTTTTACTTGAACTCTCTGCCTTTAATTACAAACCAAACATTCAACACAGGCACACTAGAGCTGGAGTCAAAAATAGCAAGTGCTTACACGCACCAAAAGCTGTATTGGCTCTTTTTTTTTTTTGGACCATAGCTCATGTTTGTTAACCACATTTAATCTTAAAGCAAATAACTGACAGAAGTTACAGATAATATTATATAAATGGACATTCAGAAAGCAGTACCATAAAATCACCAGAAGTTTCCTTGCTTACCATTGTGATAGTCTTTAACACACAGTTGACGAACTGTAGAARCTATGAAATTCAAGTCAGCACCAGGAAAAACAATGAACAAAATGTTTTACCTGGACACTTTGATAATATGTTTTTAGGAAAGAAAAAATTAATATGGCAGTCAAACCAGTAAGTGAATTTTTCCTTCTACCAAAAGTTCAAAACAACCCAAGGGCAAATTTAAGTGCATCAACCACACACGAAAAGTTATCCCATTTACTCTAARTGAGAGTAGCAAGAGAATAGACAGATTTTAAAGATAGAGAAAGAGTTACTCTGTACCAGAACTGGAGACACTTGACTCATCATTGATGCTAAATATTTTGCAACATTATGAAGTTGGCAAATAAAGGTTTAGTTCTTCAAAAAGAAAATTAGAATTATGAAGTTCACAAACTAAAAAAGCAATTGACATTCAGTGCAGTCAAGTAAAAGGCACAATAAAAAATCAGATAGCCATATTTAATACTATTTCTGAATAACTCRGATATGTTTCAATCAGTTCTAAATCCTAGGACATTATATCAGTGCATTTACTTTAACGTTTTTTGGAAACAATAAATGACCTTTCAAGGGGCACTGCCCAAGAACACCCTATCACAACAATTCTCAGAAAGGCTACCTCTATCCTGGCATGTGAGAGTGGATCAAGCACTCAGAGCCTCACCACTGTCCTACCTTCTGGGACAGCAGCAGCCTTTTTGGTGCACTTTCACTTAGTCCTACATTCAGACAAAACATCCACAGAATGAGCAAGAGTGAAAAAGACTATGACAAATACTTACATGATTTAAGTGGCATCCAGATACATGAAAGACTTCCTCATACACAATCACTGGAAATACATTTATCAAAAATGCAACTCTCAACAGGCAAAATGGAATGGACTAATATTGAATCCTAACCGAAATTACCACAAGGAGTTTTTTTAAGGGTTTTTGACTTGAGCAAACATAAGCAAGTTTTTCCAGTCTATAGAAGGGGTATTTTTGATGCAAGTACTTCATGTCTTCTTGCTCTCAGAAACATCCAACTTAAATCAAAACTACATAAGTGCCTTAAAACTCCCTGGCCTTTCAACTCATACGAACACAAAGCAAAGTTTCAGGACAATTGAAATTAAGGCAATATGGCAAAAGGTCTTTGTTATTCAAAATTAAGGYTTAAGTATTGTGAATTTGTCTTAAGGAGTGCTTGAGACCCGGTGCAGCACAGGTCTCTAGTTCTACAGCATTTAAGCTGCATGCTCTTACACTGTCATGTACAGAATGACACACAGGATACATCATTGAGCGTTTTGTACAGTTAACAGGCTTGTAGAGCTGCTGGGAACAGATAATATTGTCTAGGAAAGCACACAACATTTTTAGTTCCATTGCTGCTTTAAGGCATTTTTGGAAGCCACAGTAACTAATCCAATGCATTGCTTGCATTTGGCCATAGGAAATAAACCTTGAACTCACAAGGGATTAGGTCCAGTTAAGGAATTTGATTTTTTCAAGCCTACTTTCACTCGTTTAATTCCTAACTGTGAAGTCTGTTTGAACTTATAAGTATGAATTCTGCAATTCTTGAAAAATTAGAAAAAAACATGCAAAAAACATTTTAACTACATTGCTAAGGGTTTTATCTATCCCTTAGGAGCTAGACCATGATTTGCTTCTATTGGCATGTCACCCAACTGTGCTTTATACAAATGTCTACCTTCATTCACAAGTTATGAGAACAGGATAAAAGAAACGGCAAATAGTCTGCTCAGTTACTCTTTCATATGGAAAGTCGTGACTACCCTGCAACTTCTATCAAACTAAGGGAGCCTTCCTTTTTCCCCGGCTCCAAAAGGCTTTTCTCTTCAAGTTACTGCAGTAACACCCAGACAGTCTTAGACTGGAAAACAGTAACTGCTTTCTTGACACAAAAGCATAATTCACATCATTTTTCTTAAGTTAGCAAAATCACTTTTTGCATTCAATYAGCAAACCACTCCTGAAGTATGCACAAAATAAAAACACTTACCATATGTTTCACAACAGGCCAACTCCCCAGAAGACAATTCAGCCAACGAGGATCAGTAGTCATAGGATATATCTAGGCTACAAGCAGCAGTTTTCCTTCTGYAAGGCTTATATTCCTTCTATCCACACTGGTAGCTGGGATATAGCCTGTAAAGCATGCATTTTTAATTTAGTCATCTTGTTCTTCAAAGTGAACTGTTTTGATGAAGCTCTAGGATAATAGGATTATTTTCTTCCTTCAAATTTGCATATAAACTAACAGCTGGGTCAATATATTCAAGAACATACTTCAGCCCACTGTTTATTGAACAGAGGAGTTTACTGCAGATTTCTAAGGATATCAAAATCATTCAATAACTGAAGCTATCTAACTGCTTTTAGCAGCATTATGCTTCAAAACCTCAACCCCATTTCTGTGTTATAGCAACATTATATCCAAACAGATCTGCAAGATGTATTCATGTTAAAATTCTAGCTCAAAATGTTARGTTTCCAATAAAGCAATCAAAGATCCATAATTTAAGAAAAATATYCTCTCTAAAGATTGTTCCTTAGAGAGCCCTTAAGTTCTACATCAGAGCAAGCATTTTTAGTGTCTACATTCTGTTTTTAAACCTGCACCTTTAAATATAATATCTCTGAAGAATCAACTCAAGCAATTACAATGCTTTCCTGTCAGATTGCCTTTCATATGTTTTGAGGTCTGAACTGTTAGGTAGCTTTCATAATTTAGAAGGAAGCATTACATTTCCACTTGTAGCAGAAAAACATTTTTCTGTGACAGGCTTTCATATATAAAGTCTTCAAACCTTTTGATTAGTGTAATTAATTTCTTAGAGCAACACAGGGAAAAGGAAGCTTTTGCAAAGACATAGCAAAGGCTTAATTTTATATGCATACTGCTGTGCAGAAATATCTCGCTAAGTCAAAACTACAACTCAGAAGTCAGTAYTATCTTTCTGAAAGAAGCCAAAGGAGTAAGTTATGCACCTGAATATARGACTAAATTCTGGACAGCATCTAGAAGTTACAAGTCATGACAGATGCATGTAAAAAAAACACGGTAAAAGTACTTGCTACTGAATACTGAAGATGAATTAATGAAGGTAAGCAATCTTCCTTGGAATTCAGTGAGACAGCTTTTCATAGTGACAAATACCATGAACCAGTAAACAAAGTCACAAGAATAGAAACTGTCAAATAACAATAGTGGCYCAATTATCAGATACTTGTTTACAATGCAGTAATAGAATCAGAGGGGTAAATTTCCAAGATGGCTTTATTTTTTAAACCAGAAAAGCAGACAATTAGCCTCATTTTGACAAACTTTCCAAAGCCACAGGAAGATCCTAGGGGAAAGCTGTCCCGTATTCTACTGAGAGCTGGGGAACACAGCCACAGCAGCCAGYGGTGGTACTTGCATTCCTTCCATCCATTCATTGAGAAATTCTAGATCAGCTTTTAGACTCTGAAAGCTGAGAGCTTTTGCAGACTTGGTTACAACACTGGAGACTAATCTTTCAGGGCTYTTAAGTTAACATTTTGAATATCATGCTGTTTTGAGTCCCAGGAGTTCACCGCTCCATTCATTTATAATAGAAGGAAAAAGAGTTGTTATTCTTCCTGTYCATGAAAATCCACGCACGAAAAACATTAAAGGTATCCTTTTTAAAAACAATCAAAATGTAGCCCTTTGTTTTGGACTGGAAATACTTATAATGGTTCAACTGGATGGAAACTAAGTCTTAAAGGGACTTGGGTCAATCAGGTAATATGCAGAAAAACTTTTTCACAGGTTAGGTTCCAGTAAAGGCAGGACAAACTTTGTCTTACACACACAGGCACTGGGCTGGAGAGGCTAAAAATAAGTTAGCAATAGCAAAATCTAATAAAAAGGCTTTGCAAGTGCTGTTCAAAAATACAGCAGGAAAAATTTCCAGACCACAGTAATGAAGGTCAAAGGAAGCTGGCAGTCATAATTAAAACCATGCTCACTGTAATATAAGGCAGGGTCATAAGCCAAGTTCATTCAAGGATAAGCAAGGTCACAGGACAAGCAAAGGCATTGATAATAGACTAATGAAAGCCTTAAAAGCAGCACAACACATTGTGACTGCAGCCACTCATAAGTACAAACCTTCATGAGAAAAAGATGCCTACCTAGGGCTACTTGGCTAGTTAATCCTAAAGCAACCTACTAATGCTTCATTTTCTTTTATGGCTATTTATGGATTACAGTTTGCTTAGTGCTATAAGACATGAAGAAAAATGCAACTTTGTTGAAAGAAAGTGTAAATTAAACAGAAAATGCTTTTGTAGAATATATGGGAGACTGCCTTCACTGTGCAAGTYTAGTCAAAGATGAATCAGACCCCAGAAGCCTTCTTAGCCTCTCATTCTGTTCCAAATGAGAAAAAAATGAGTGCTTCTAGTAAAGTTGGACAACATTTTTCTTTGAGGACAGAGGAGATAGTTTTATACATTCATCATTTAGGGTAGCAATGAAGCACTTCAAAGATTTAAAAGAACTCAGAAAAAATAATTCATGTAGCAAATGAGTATTCCATATACCATCTGACTTCAAGATTATTATTCCAAAGTTAGTTCCAAAACTGAGATAAGATTAAAATTTCAGGTTTTTTTTCCTTTTGGGGGTATCAAATAGGAGATTTCCAGTGCTTTTCACTCAAAAAATCCATCAGTTTTGGATAAAACAATTTAGCAGACAGTATAGAAATATAACAGAAAACTGCTAATTAGCCTAAGTAACTGGCATAATGACATTTGCCTGGTATAGCTGGATGAAGAGAATATTAGAAATCATTTGAGACATTGCATAGTTGAAGAACAAAAATATCTAGCACATCTCTTACACAGGTGCCAGTAGCACCCAGACTAGTGCTACTTATTGACATAAACTTACTTTCCAGTTCAGGCTGTAAAATTTCATCTGTTMATTGCCTTTGTACAAATCATAATAATTGTTGCAGTTAGTATTTCTTCCCAGCATGTTAAGATAACTTTATGGCCTATCTTAACTGAAGCACTGCTGCATTAAAAAAAAAGGTTACACAAGAAAAAAACAGCTCCAGCAACACAAATGTCAATGCAAATAAACTAATTCTTACAGATTATACCTTCAGGAATTAGATGAAATCTGGTTTTGTCCATAAAGCACAGCATAAATGCTATAGAAAGCACTTCTAGTTTTCTAGTATGCAAAGCTAGATCATTTCTCTGAATACCTGAATGCTAGGAAGGTGGTTACAACAATCAGAAGCACATATATCTGCAATAATCTCAAATTGAATATATCTTTATTCAGGTTCATACATTCTGCATAAACTATTATATTTCATATCAAAGAGAAGTTTCTCTCAATCCATCTCTTCACAAAATATGAATAGGTCAGAAAACCCTGAATGTAAGCCAGTTCCCACCATTTCTGTCAGTGGACTAGTCTAATAGAAGCTTGAGGAGATCAGTTTACTTTAGCACAAAGTATCTTCTATTGTGAAAGCTGTATTCATCAGCACTCCACCTTTGCAACATACTAGTAGCTGAAGTAATCTGAATCCAGCCATTCACAATGCACTGAAAGCAGCACATTCTTTTCACCAACAGAGCTTTCCCAACAGGTCCTTTCTTGCTTAATACAAGCCTGCAAAATATTATTTCTTTCCTATCTTTAACATGAAAGAACCATTGACAAATGCATCAGTTGAATATATTACTTTGAAACAGCAAATGGAAAATTTTAGAGAAAAACGATCAGACCATCTGTAATATTCAAGCGTGAGTTTTAAAAACACACCTTTCTTAAAAAGCTGAGCTGAGAACCATTAAGCATTACAATCCACATTCATGAGCACTACTGGTGCTATTTAGTTACTTTTCTRTTTCTCTTCAACTCAAGCCCTTTGTGTCTTTCTGCATTTGCACTACACTTACAGGTTGCTTCACAATTGTTTTAGACAAAACCATTTCTATTAAGCCTTTACGAAAAGATACTTACCCCAACTTCTCACAACTGTAAATCCACTTTTTTTGGGGGCACGCTTTAGTTCTTGAAGCTGTTTCCTCTTGTCCTTTTCTAACGTTTAATTGATAGTTCCAAGAAACTTAGTATTGCACAGATKTATACACTGGTTTACAGTCTAGATGCTTTTCAAAAACTATTTTATTCTAGACAAAAATAGACATGTGCATGTTTAAGATGTACTGTTTGCATATACTGCCATACCATTTTTCCTTTGTCTTTTTCAGGGCTTATCTTACTTAGCTGAAGTCTTTGAAAACACCATTATGCTGAATTATGAAAAGCATGACCTATAGAATAAAAAGACCATGTGAAGAGTTGAGTGCGAAAGGAAAGCACAAGAACTTGTATCAAACCCACGCATGCCAGAGGGTATGTACACTGTCAATTTAATAGAGATACAGTATGTCCAAATATATATAAATTTATACATATACATGCTGATGAACACCATATTGAATCATATTGACATGGACATATCTGAATGTGATTAAGCTAGGACAYTCACACTTCGACTGCCTAGATCTTAAAGCAACTGGTAACAGCCACAAACAGAGCAAACCAATTCACACTTCTGAGCACAACAAAACTTTTCTTGCTAAGTGCAAAACAAAGCAGATAGTCAATAGGAATCTGAATATTAGGAAGGTGCAAAGCCATTTACAGTTTAAAACTACAATTGCATTCAKGGTCAAGCAAGTGAACCGTTAAATACTTAACTTGATAGCAATGGTTCATAGATGGTAAATGGTTTTAGATCTGCAGAATTTTGGATTATTTGGCAAACTATTTCTATTACTTGAAGCGTTGGAGCTCATCAAGCAGCTAACTCAAGTGATAGCAATTCCTCAGTTCAGTGGACATTGATTAAAAATTTGTTGCGGAGAACTGAGAAATATTATGGGGAATATTAAAGATTTAAAGTTTAGAGAGTCTTTGAAATACAGTATAGACAGCAGCTTTTTTCCTCCCACCACRTTATGGCAACACCATGTATCCACATACTTGAATCTCAACACTTACAGYTCAGCTTTAATAAAAGCTCATTCATTGACTTTAACATTGGAAACCCAGAAAGAACTGCCATTCCATTTACCAAGAACACAGC